AAGAATTGAATATGAGGCAAAGAAGGTGGTCGGAATTCCTGAAAGATTATGATTTTAGTTTGAGTTATCACCCAAGAAGAGCGAATGTGGTTACGGATGCCTTGAGCAGGAAGACAATTCATATGTCAGCTTTGATGGTGAAAGAGATGGAGCTTATTGAGCAGTTCCGAGATTTGAGCATGGTTTGCGAGTTTACTATAGATGGTGTGATGTTGGGTAAATTACAAGTGAAGAATGATTTCTTGGATATGATAAGAGAACACCAGAAGTTGGATGTGAAACTTGTGGATTTGATGTGAGGAGTCGAAGGTGACTCCGGTGGTGATTTCAAGTTGGATAATGCTGATGTTTTGAGGTTTCAGGGCAGAATTTGTGTGTCGGATAATGACGAGCTGAAGAGGTCAATTTTGGATGAAGGGCATCGCAGTAGCCTGAGTGTTCATCCAGGAGCTACGAAGATGTATCAGGACTTGAAAAAGTTATTTTGGTGGTCGGGTATGAAAAGAGATATTGCTCGTTATGTTTATGCTTGTTTGGTATGTCAGAAATCGAAGGTGGAGCATCAGATACCTTCTGGGATGATGCAACCGTTAGAGATTCCGGCTTGGAAATGGGATTGTATCGCCATGGATTTTGTTACAGGTTTGCCGAATACGGCGAGAGGATTTGATGCGATTTGGGTGATTGTGGATCGGCTTACGAAGTCTGCACATTTTGTGCCGATTAGTATCAGTTTTTCGTTGAAGAAGCTTGTAGAGATCTATATTCGGGAGATTGTGAAGCTGCATGGTGTGCCATTGAGTATTGTGTCGGATAGAGATCTGAGGTTCACTTTTGTATTTTGGAAGAGTTTGCAAGAGGCTTTGGGTACCGAGTTGAAGTTGAGTTCTACTTATCATCCGCAAACGGATGGATAGTCAGAGAGGACTATTCAGACTTTAGAGGATTTGTTGCGGGCTTGTGTTTTGGAGAAAGGTGGTACGTGGGATACTCATTTGCCTTTGGTTGAGTTCACGTACAACAACAGTTACCATTCTAGTATCGGGATGACACCGTTTGAAGCTCTTTATGGACGGAGGTACAGGACTCCTCTGTGTTGGTATGAGTCAGGTGAGAATGTTGTGTTGGAACCAGAGTTGGTGCAGCAGACTACTGAGACAGTTCAGATGATCCGGGAGAAGATAAAGCATCTCAGGATCGGCAGAAGAGTTATTATGATAACCGAAGGAAAGAGTTGGAATTCAGTGAGGGTGACCATGTATTTTTTAAGGTTAACCCAGTGACTGGTGTAGGACGTGCATTGAAGTCCAAGAAGTTGGATCCGAAGTTTATCGGGCCGTATCAGATTTTGCAGAGGATTGGTGTTGTGGCTTATAGGGTGGCGTTGCCACCGGAACTTTCGAACTTTCATGACGTGTTCCATGTGTCGGAACTTCGGAAGTATGTACCCGATCCGTCTCATGTGATTCAGAGAGATGAAGTCCAGGTTAGAGAGAATCTAACTGTGGAGACGTTGCCGTTGAGGGTCGAGTATCGCAAGATAAAGCGACTCAGAGGAAAAGAGATACCTTTGGTGAGAGTGGCTTGGGGAGGTGCTGCAGGAGGCAGTGTGACCTGGGAATTGGAGAGCAGGATGCGGGAAGCCTATCCAGAGCTGTTCCCATCAGGTATTTTTGGGGACGAAAATAATTAAAGTGGGGGAGAGTTGTAAAGCCCATTTTAATTATTTTTATTTTCGGTGTTATTTTCATTTTCGGCGTGCTTGCGTGGATTTTGGTTGAGGAGTAAGTTCCATAATACTATAAAATATGATTAATGATGATAATAATATGATAATTAGTAAAGTGTTACTATTATTAATAGTATTGTTATTATTATCATATTAAATATTATTATTGAAAAATTATTTGGAATTAATTGAAGTTTTTGGAAATAAAAGAAATATGAGAATTATTTATTTATTTGGAATAAAAGTGTAATATTTGGGATGAAGGGCAGAGTGGGCATTTGGAAAAAAAGAATAGAGAAAGAGTGGAACGAAGAACACGAGAAAGAGGAGAAAGCACGGTTTGGGAAGAGCAAGCAAGATCAAGAGCCGAGGCTTGAGCAAGAAGAATTTTCGTGTAGATTGTGAAGCTCCATCATCATCAGAATTTCATTTGAGGTAAGGGGGGAATTGATCGGTTAAATTGGTATATACATGAATATGTGGTAGAAAGGGGAAATTCCCTAATCCCCATGATCGATGATGAATCGATGTTGTTTGTTTGTTGTTGATTCTGTTATAGTTGTTGTTTTTGTGATAGAATTAATTGCATGTGATGTAGAGTAGTTGTTTGAGTGAATTGGGGTTTCCGGGTAGTTCAAAGTTATGTCGGAACTGAGCAATTGTGTAGAGCTATCAATTAATCGGGTTAAATCGGGGATAGATGTTATAGCAGGTTGTGGAACAATTGTCTGGTATGAGGGGGTTTGGCTTGGAGTAGAATCAGCTGAGTTCAGAGCGTGTTGCCGACTCTGAGCTGTGGTTTTATTTTTCTGGAAACGCAGGCATTCACTGGGCGAATGAGGGGGGCGAGCCTTCGCCAGGCGAACTGGGCAGCGAATGCTGCCAGTAGCCTCTGTTTGGTTTCGCCAGGGGTTTCGCCGGGAGAATGGTCAGCGAGTGTTCGCTGCGGGGCTTCGCCAGGAGAATGCGCCAGCGAGCCCGACAGCAGTTTGTGTTTTGCTGTTGTTCTGTGTTGATTTCTTTGTGGTTTTGGACTCTTGTTGGTCATGTTTGGTGATGAGCTTATTAGTGAGCTGTGGTGAGTGTATGTATGGTGTCTGGACGTGATTCCGTAATATCTGTGTGATTTTGATAATTGAATTGGTGTATGTTATGATGTATGACTGTGATGATGGGTGAGATATATTTGATATATGATAAATTGTGATCAGTAGGATCGTGTGCACCTTGTGTGCTTAGCTTCGTGTGTTGTGTGATGAGTGGATCAGTCGGATCAATATGCTTTATATGCGTTGTGTTTGTATGTTGTTGTGATGAATTGGATCAGAAGGATCGAATGCGCTTTGTGTGCTTGATGTGTATGTGATATATGATGGATCAGTAGGATCATGTGCAATGCGAGTGTTGTGTTGTTGTGCATGGTGTCTACATAGCATGTGGACGTGGTGAATCATTGCTCGGTGGAGTGTATGTGATTCACTCACGTGCTCCAAGTGGGGAGCGTGGACGTGGTGAATCATTGCTCGGTGGAGTGTATGTGATTCACTCACGTGCTTCAATTGGGGAGCGTGGATGGGAGTTGAATCGTTGCTCGGATGGAGTGTACGCGATTCACCCGTGTTCCAAGTGGGGAACGTTGGTAGGGATAGATCGTTGCTCGGATGGAGTGTATGCGATCTATCCTGAGATTTGATTATGGGCTCAGGAGGAGCGTGGTAGGGATAGATCGTTGCTCGGATGGAGTGTATGCGATCTATCCTGAGATTTGATTATGGGCTCAGGAGGAGCGTGGTAGGGATAGATCGTTGCTCGGATGGAGTGTATGCGATCTATCCTGAGTTAAGTCGGTACCGCATATCATTGTGTCGAGTTGCATGTGTTGCATTTGTTGTATGTATGTTGTGTTGACATGGGATAGTAGGTCTGGGTTCGATGTGTATGAAATGATGTTTATGTGTTTCTACCTCTTATTTCATGTGCATTTATACTGTTAATATTTGATCGTGATTTCTCACCCCTTGTTGTTGTTATTGTGGTCTGTACTTCTTCGGAAGTACAGACAATCCAGGTGCTTAGCTAGCTTGGATTGTGGCGAGTCGTAGGGATGCTCTGATACGTAACACCGGGGCTTTTGGGAGAATTTGTGTCTATTTGATGATTTTGTGTGCCCCTATGGCGTATCTTGTTTTGTTGGGATTCGAGGATGATATTTTGTATATTTTGGGCAGATGGCCGATTAGTTGTACATGATTGATATTGATGATGTATATATGATATGTGGTTTATGACAGACTAGTTCTTTTTCCGCTGCAATATTACAAAGAAATTAGTTTGAGAAATGATTTGTGGAATTTTGTTAAAAATTGTGACATCCCGTTGTGGGAAAACTCTGATATGTGTTTATTTTAATTGCTTTATTCTATTTTGGGGAAATGGGGTGTTACAAGAGACACACCACATATTCACTCAAAACCTTAAAGTGATAGATGGATGTGTTCTCTTACTTATAAATGTTCAAGTCACAACATTCCTATTTAACGTGAAACTATTTTTCCATACTAATCACACTTGTAATTCTTTTTCAACAAATTACACCGACAAACAACACAAGAATAAAAAAGTGCATAATTACAATATAAGATACTAACACAACTAAAAAGGTAAAAAAAAAGTGCATAATCACAATATAAAATACTAACACAACGAAAAAGGTGAAGTCGTGAGATTTTCTTACCAAAAAATCTCACACATTCTCAACACATACATTCCTTGGATTTGATCACCCCTTGTGATTTTCAAAGGTAAAATAACAATTACACTTTGACAATTTTACACCAACCTCAATGTTGCTGTCTCCAAACTATCCCAAATCCCCACAAATCATTACCAATGAACATGGTTTCCGCAAGGAACGGAAGCATGCATCTTCAATGTCCCTATTTATTATTTATTATTTTTGTTTCTACTCTTTGACTCATTGAAACCATAACAATGAAACAAAGCTTGATTATACTATATACATTAAGGTTTTAAGGGAGGGTCCTACTCCTATATCCTAAGTTTAGAAACTAACATCATAGTAGACAATAAAGGTGGTATTCCTTAAATTTTAATCTCATTTTATATTATCCCTAAGTCTAGTCAATGTTATATTTCTCAACTCAAAGTTTCTTCCATCCTAACTCACACAACCTTGTAACTCATTATTCTTCTATATTCTATGTTGTTCTAATATCTAACCCTTCCATAAGCTTATGAGAAATTAAATTAGATGTACCTCACATTATCCCTTTTTATTTTGTTACTTTCATTGAATGTTTGCACTTCTCGCATTCTTGTAGAACTTGAAGAGGAGTCCAGCACCCACATCAACATTTCTGAAAAGGTTAGTGTCAAACTCATCAATGACTTGGAACTTGTTAGCATTCACATTTGCATCTTGTTTCTTGTTTTCTGAAGCTATTTGGACGTGAAGATTCTAAACCTAGTTTGTAATTTCTTTATGAATAGGTGTCAAAGAATGTGGAGAAAGAACCTTTAGAAACAAAAACAGAAAACATCAAAGTTAAGAACAATATTGGAGTTGTCCAAGTGCAACACATGAAACAAGAGTTTTCAAGGCATGTTCCAAGAAAATCAGGTGTTTCAGTTTCTTTGTCAATGCCTCAGAGAAAAGAGGGCAAAAATCCAGGATTTTATTCGGATTATTCTAGACCAAGGACACGCCCTCCCTCCCACAACTGATTATTCTTTCCCCATTCTTTTTTGTCTATGAATTAACATCTTGAATCCTCTTAGATTGTTGTATCTTTTTTAGCTCAAAATGGAAATCTTGTTGTGGTAGTCATCCAAATTTATGCATGTAATGTAACCATCATTTTATTTTATTTTATTGAATGACGACCTCTAATTTTTTATATTATTATTTACTTTTTCTTAAAATGAAATGAATGAGTGACCAAGGTTTACGTTATTGTAAAACAATTTTGCAATGTGAATGTATCTTAAGTATTCTATTAAGATAATTTAAGAGAAGACCAAGGTTTACCTTAAAGTTTCATTAAAATTGAGAAAATAAAAAAAACACACTAATAAGTTTCTCTCCGGTCTTAATTAGGGGTATTGAATGTCTGTTGGTGTACGATAGCTGTATGACATTTATTAAAAAAAAATTCATTAGTCACGTGATTTTCACATCACAAACAACAATATCACGTCACAATTCATCAATTAGCGATGTGAGTAAACACGCAGCAGAAGCACACGTGACAACTCAATTGCAATGTGAAAATCACGCCACAAATTTACCACGTGAAAATCGCACCACAAATTTTTAAACAAATTACAATGTATCTCAACTACTAGTCAGAGTGTCGATATAGGTGCAGGAACTAAAGGTACAGTTTTGACTAATTAACAACATGAAAAACATGCCACAAAAATATTATTTTAAATATAAAAAATATGTTTTAACTAAAAATCATATTGTTTATATTCTAAATTTTTTGTTTTATATTATATTATGCAAATTTTACTATAAATGAAAATAATAAACATATATTTTTATTATAGATATATTAAAAAAATAAATATATATTTATATATGAAAATAATACTTATAATTTATATTATCTGGATTTAAGTAAAAAAATATATTATCAACACATAAAAATTTTATTAAACTAAAAACTAAATTCTGATTTAATATATTCTGATTTTTAAACCTATTTTATTAAACTAATTCTATTTGTATATGATTTATTTACATGGAAAAAATTGTTTAAACAAATGCATATAAAAAATTATCAAATATGAAAGAAAACAAATATCAAGAAAAATTATCATTAAACAGCAGAAACCAAAATATGTGAAGAAAAATACTTAAATACGTACCTTTTATAATGGAAATGAGAAATAAATTGAAAAAAAAATTAATTTTTTATGATCAAAATAGAGCAGAGCATTTTGTGAAGAGGAAGGAGGAAGAAGAAAAAATGTAGTAAGTGAGAGCACGGAGGAATGTTACTTATATTTTTTTTAAGTTTGAGTAATAATGTGGTGGTAATGGAACGGCGCATGCGTGTTTAAGTAAGTCATATAGTCACATGAATTTCACGGCACTAATTAGTCACATATTTTTCACGCAACTACTTTTCAAAATAAATTAGCGATGTGTTTCTCATGTCACTACATATTTCTCACCTGTCAAAAATTTCCACCTAAATTTTTTTACTTTTCAAAATAAATTAGCCACGAGTTTTTCACACCACTACTTTTCAAAATAAATTAATGACATGTTTTTCACGTTACTACATACTTTTCGGAAATTTTAAAAATTCTCCGATATGAAAATTTGATTTTCAATTATTTTAATTTTAAATGGTTTGCGACGTGATTTTCACGTGGAAACGTCCATTTTTAACGACATGATTTTTATGTGGTCATATCACATCACTGGGGTGTCATACCCCAAAATTTGCCCTAATTTTTTCATTTCCTTTCTGCCCTATTGCTGGATTCAACTGCATATTCATTAGCATCATAACACATTCATCATGAATTCAAAGGTTTGTGCTATTGATGACTAACACGAAGTTAAGGTTTACTTGAGGACCAAATCTAGATCATCTTTTGATACATTGAATGATGGTGGTTTTATGTGGAGGCACAAGACTATGAAATCCTAATGGCTTGACTTTTGGCATCCATAGGACATCTGTGTGGCAGTGTGGTCTTAGATTCAACCAGGGATGACAAGCATCATCCGATTTTTTTCTTCTTATTTTTATTTCTTTTAATATCTCTTAGACCTCACTTCATGATTAATTTCTTAAGTACTTAATTTTATGATTAATCCTTTGATCTCTTAAGTACTCAAATTCCATGAATATTGGTTTAATTTCCTAAGTACTCAAGTTTTATGAACATTTGTTTGATTTCTTAATTTCTAAACTCCATAATTGATTGCTTGATTTCTTGCTTTTTACTCAAATTTCATGATTAGTTATAATCTCTTGATTTTTTAGTTTATGTTTCCCAAATATCTTCTTTCTTGATATAGATCATCTAACCACTAATCTACTAACTTACTAACTACTAACTTTACAATTCTTACCATTTATATTTTCTTTTGTACTTTATAATTCTTACATTTTTCCTTTGTGTCATTGTATTCTTCTTTGATCCTTACTTTCTTTATCTTGTTATCTTGTTAAAATGAACGAAAAAACATGATAAAAAGGGAAAGGACATAAAAAGACTTTGTTAGTTCTTGTTTGGCAGGCATTTTGGTAAAACTAGGTGTAATCACAAGATGTTCTACAGGATGTCGTGACATCTGTCTGTCAGGATTAGTAGGTAGCTTTGGACTTTTTAACAGGGCTTATATCATGATGTCAAACAAGATGTCTTGACACTCATGGACTAAAACATTCTGTATGAATGTATTTATGTGTCCATATCTTTTTGTGCAAGCTTGCTGCACTATTCTGGTGTAGAACCTGCGCGTTTTTGGTAGTTTTCTAAAGGCATTTCTAATACACTTATTATGGATCAGACTTGATTTGATTTAGAGTTATTCTCAGAAGATTGATTGAAGATTGGAAGGATGATTTGATTAGATCTGATTGATCAAATCAGATCTGTTTCTTGTAGCAATTTATGAAGATTGAAATCTTCTCAAAACCTGCTGTTACTTTTGGCACAACCCAAGCCCACTCTCATTACTATTTAAGGAGGCGAAAACCCTAGCTTGAAGATCAGAGAAGCAAGGATAAAAAGTGTGTGCATTTCTTTAAGCTTTAAGGCTTCATGTGTATTAGTTTTGTGAGTCATTCACTCATTGTTTAATGCGTGAATTGGACTAGGTTGTTAATTGTAAATTGTTCACTCAAAGCTTGTAAGCAAGAGTGTGTTGTTCTTGATTGAAGCTTTTAAGCAAGATCAAGTTGTGACTTTGAAGAGTGTCTTCTAAAGTCTTCTTACTTTCATAAATTGTTATCACTGCTGTGATTGAGGGGGAGTGAGAGGTGTCTCTTGTCTAGGTGTGTTCTAGGCAGAAATTGCATGGGTACAGATTAAGTGAGGAGTTGTAAACTGAGAGTTGAGCTCTAAATTAATTCTACTAGTAGTGAATTTTTTACCTGGCTTGGTAGCCCCCAGACGTAGGTGTGGTTTCACCGAACTGGGTTAACAATTGATGTGTCTCTTTAAAGGTGTTTTTGTTTATCTTTGTTCTTATTATGTAGATATTTGTGTCGGGAACATCTCCTTCGACATCTAATATCTGATACCAGAATTTCAATTGGTATTAGAGCAGGCATCCTGCTCTAGTTCTGGGTGAGATCTAGGGACGATACTTTCTGGTACCATGGACAAAGAAGGAGGATTCGTGAACAGACCACCTGTTCTGGACGAGAACAATTATGACTACTGGAAACCTAGAATGGTTGCCTTCTTAAAGTCTCTGGACAGTAAGGCATGGAAAGCTATCATAAAGGGATGGAAACATCCTATGATTGTTGATAAAGATGGAAAGGCTACAAATGAATTAAAACCTGAGGAAGAATGGACAAAGGAAGAAGATGATCTTGCTCTAGGAAACTCCAAGGCCTTGGATGCCTTGTTCAATGGAATTGATAGGAACATATTCAGGTTGGTGAACAACTGTGAAATTGCTAAGGAAGCCTGGGAGATTCTAAAGACTACTCATGAAGGCACATCCAAGGTAAAAATGTCTAGAGTACAACTCCTGACAACTAAGTTTGAAAGCCTGAGAATGAAAGATGATGAAAGCATACATGACTTTCATATGAATATTCTTGAGATTCCCAATACTTAAAGTGCTCTTGGTGAAAAGATGTCTGAAGAAAAGCTGGTAAGAAAAATTCTCAGATCTCTCACCAAGAGGTTTCACATGAAAGTAACTGCCATAAAGGAAGCTCAAGACATCTGTAAGATGAGAGTTGATAAACTCATTGGCTTTCTACTAACCTTTGAAGTAGGAATAGGTGACAAAGATGACAAGAAAAAAAGCATAGCCTTTATGTCAAATACTGAGGGAAGAGATGATGAATCTGATGAGGATACAAATGAAAGTCTATCTAAGGCCATGGTTCTACTGGGAAGACAATTCAACAAGGTAATAAAAAGAATGGATATAAAGACAAAACCAAATGTCAAGAACACCTCACTTGACATCAGTAAGTCAAATGATGCAGGAAGAAAAACTAGGGCTGAAGAAAAACCCACAAACAGCAAAGGGATGCAGTGTTATGAGTGTGAAGGTTTTTGTCACATCAAATCTGAATGCGCTACTTATCTCAAGAAACAAAAGAAAGGCCTAGCTGTTTCATGGACTGATGAAGACTCTGATAGTGAGATTGAAGAAGAATTTGCCAAACATATAACTTCCTTGACTGGAAGATACTATTCTGATGAAGACTCTAGTGAAGATGAATTGACCTTTGAAGAACTAGCAGCTTCCTACAAAGAACTATGCCTCAGAAGTGAAGAAGTCTGCCAGCAAGGTGAAAAACAGAAGAAACACATCATCAAGCTAAAGGATGAAAAGGAGGAACACATGACAACTATCAATGGTTTGAATAATAGGGTTGCTAAACAGGCTAAAACTATCACTAAATTAACATATGAAGTTTCTCAACTGACTTCCCAACTTAACCAAATGGAAAAAGTCTGTTAGAATGATGAATAATGGTACCAAAACTTTGGAAGAGATTCTTCAA